TCCCCCACTTGGAAGGAGAACAAAAACCCAAGCCAGCAACAGCAACAACCAGAGCGGCTCCAGGCAACTCGAGGCCAGCAGCCAGGGTTATTAATAGCACCGGCTGAGGGTCTGCCAGCCGCCTGGATAACCCTTCCTCCAGCAGAGCAGGCTTCCAGCCGAAGCTCCAGGGACTTCTGGGTGCTGGCACACTGCTGGTGGGTGGGTCATGACCTCCATTAGATGTATGTGACCTTGAACTCCAAAAGGTTGCAGGCCACTGCCCAGGAGCCATGAAAATATCCAGTGCCTGTAAGAGTCCCGTACTGAGTTTTGGTTTTGCTTTGTTTGTGGTTTTGGATTGGTTTACATCTCTTTGAACACAGCACCTGAAGCACACGAGGCAAGGGGCCTACCACTGTCTGATCTGTATCCCTAAACCCAATAGTAAGAGTTTGTTTGACACAGGATCTCACTATGTAGCTCTGGTTGTTCTGGAACTCACTATGTAGACCAGGCTGGCCTTGAACTCACAGAGAGCTACCTGCCTCTTCCTCCTGAATGCTGGGATTAAAGGCGTGCGCCATTATACCTGGCTCCCCATAGTAGGTTTTTTTCCAACAATTTATTTTTATTTCATGAGCATTGGTGTTTTGCCTGCATGTATGCTGTGTGAGGGTGTCAGATCTTGGAGTTACAGACAATTGTGGGTGTTACAGACAAACGTGGGTGCTGGGAATTGAACCCCCGTCCTCTGGAAGAGCAGTCAGTTGAAGAAATAACTGTATAGAACAAGGGATCTTATTACAAATGTCCTGACCACCCTCACCTCTCCACCCTGCCTCCCCTGGCCTTACTCACCCACATTCACTCCCCAGGGCTCACACTCAAGTAGGACAGTGGAGGTGACTTTCCTTTACATTCTTCAGAATGTAACTGGCCTCAGGCAGGGTAGAGCGCTTGAACCTAGTAAGTAGTAAGCCATTCAATTCTCGCGCTCTCATTCACAACCATGCCTGCCTTCCGGTGTTGTCCATTCTGTCGTGGAACCGAGGCTTGCTGTTGGAATTCCAGAGAAAGATTGTGAAGGGCTCACCTACCTTGGGACTCAAAGTGCAATTGGTCAATGCTCCATCCACAGCTCTGTCTTTTCTGGCCATAAATATCTGCACTGGGATCCCCTCACCCCGATTTCTCTCCTCGAATTGCCACATCTGATCTCACTCATCCACAGATGGGAAAGCGCAGGCTTCTGCCTTCTTCGAAGAAGGTGCTCCTCAGCCCCTCAGAAATGCACGTCTTCAAGTTTCTGCTGTCCCTCGCTCAGAGCCAGGGCATCGTGTGGATGCTGTGTCTTGGGCTCAGAGGTGCCTGAAACCAAACCGAGCCTCCTCAACCTGCAAGTGGCAAGGCTGGACTGCATAGCCGGTCCCCAACTCTTCCTCCCGTGCCTGCTCCTGAGGAACTGGGCTTCTCCACACAACCCGCATTCCCGAGTGGCAGTCTTGTGCCACTCAGATGTGAGGGGGTAGTCACCTTGACACAACGGCAGCCATCTTGAGTTGTGACCTCCACGGCTGCCTGGAGTCACCTTGGCTGTTTTTGTCCTGCAGTATCTCAGCAAGCTGTACATAGATAGAAACCACTAGCATTGTATGTGGGGTTTTTTATTTCTGTTTACATTACAGTGTACAGTAAACATGAAGAGGAAGTCAGGGAAGGGACCCACACCTACAATCTTACTGCCTCCTCACCTCCAGCTCCTCCTCCACCTCCAGCTCCTCCTCCACCTCCAGCTCCTCCTCCACCTCCAGCTCCTCCATCTCCAGCTCCTTTACCTCCAGCTCCTCCTCCACCTCCAGCTC